CACATGTGGGGCCCCGCGGGCTCCGGGCGACCTCGGGCTGCAAGCCTGTACCCTTTAGGGACGACCAAGGTCAAGGTTTGACGAAGTCCACCCGGCGCGGGCCCTCCAGGGCTCTGGCTGTATCCCTGAAGAGCTGTCCCTGCCAGGCTTTGCCCTCCCCTCCCCTCTGCCCCAGATGTCCCCGGAGATTCACTACGGCCCCTCTTTGGGGCCCCGCGGGCTCCGGGCGACCTCGGGCTGCAAGCCTGTACCCTTTAGGGACGACCAAGGTCAAGGTTTGACGAAGTCCACCCGGCGCGGGCCCTCCAGGGCTCTGGCTGTATCCCTGAAGAGCTGTCCCTGCCAGGCTTTGCCCTCCCCTCCCCTCTGCCCCAGATGTCCCCGGAGATTCACTACGGCCCCTCTTGCCAGCAGAGACCAGGGCCGTTGGGGTCTAAAGCCTCTTGCCTTCCCTCACCAGCCATCTGTCTGGTGTCCCGTGGAGACTCGGTCCTGGCTCCTTGGTCTGCAGGGGTTATGACCTGGAGGTCGCCCTTCCCTGCTGCGGAGCCTGTATTCCTTTGGCTCAATTTTCCTTGGGCCTGTGAACTTAGCTCCTGCCCCTTGCTGGACCTGGGCACCTGGCCAAGGCCCTGGGTGGCGGGGGTGATGGGGGTGGCAGTGTGTGAACGGGCTCAGGTGAGGCACGTGGGAGGGACGCAGCAGAAAGGAGGGCACAGGTGGGGATGGGACTTTCCTAGTTGAGAACACAGATAACCCCCAGCGTGGTCTCCAGGAGTTCAGGGAAGTCATGGCTGGGTGCTCGCCCTCAAGGTCTTCTGGCAATGTCCGGAAGGCCCATCTGAGACACCTCAGGAGGGGCCAGGTTCAGAGTAGGGGATGACTGAAAGGCACACTGGCACCTGGGGTTCATTTCCAGGACCCTGTTGCGAAGAGGGTGTGTCCCAGGGAGTGAGGGGGTCCTTGGGAGTCTTAGGTAACTTTAGCCTACCAGTGATGGTGAACCTTTCAGAGCTTTTAATGATACAGCCAGCTGCAGCACACGTGCCACAGGTTCACCACCACCGGCTATGCCCTCAGTGTTGCCCTGCCTTCCCAGAAAGAAAATTCTGAGCCACCATATGGTCACTCAGGCAGGGCACTTGGGGCTGGGATATCTGGATAACTACCCACCTCTTACCTGGGGAAACTCTTTTCCTCTCCAAGCCCCCATTGCTGGGGACACAAAGGCAGCTCTGTGGCAAAGTTGGAGGTGGAGTCACTGAGGGGAATATGACACTCCCCAGAACCCTTAAGTGGGCAAGGACTGCAGTGGACACCCCTGCCCGCCGGCTGTTCTCCCGAGACTCCTTCAAGCCCTCAGCAGGGCCTGAGATGTAGCTCAGTGAAGCTGTGCCTGCCTGACAAGGGCAAGGTCTTGAGTTCAATCCCTGGTACCGAACAAAAGAAAAGAATAGGAAAGGAAAAAAAAAAAACGAAAAGAAAAAAGAAAAAAGACGTCAGCAGGCCAACCCCAGTGCAGATGCCTGAGATTCTTCTTCAGCTCACCAGGCTGGGGACCCTGTCCTGCCGGGCTTGAGGAGCTGTGGCTAGGGCAGGGTGTATGCCAACTGGGACATGAGTGTCCCCACACCCTCTGAGGTCAGTGGGGACTGCCCCTCCCAATCTGTGGGACCTTCTGTTAGCTGTGGCCCTCCGCATGGAGCCCTCACCCTGCTCCTGCATCTCCTCGGGGCTCCCCTCCAAAATCACTCACCCCGTGCTTCCTACCACCCTGTCTCTTCTGCATAGCACCTGTCACCACCTACCGTCCCTCTTTCTGACCAGCTGTGGGGGAAGAGGGCATGCGGGTCATCGCTAGGATATGGCAGAGTCCCAAAGTTTCTAACCAGCTAGATGTACCGGCTCCTATTCTGGCTGGTCACAGGTCTGGGCACAGCCCACAGTGGTGAGCAGGCCAGCTGGGTCTGCGTCTCTAACAAACTCTTCCTTCTGGTGAGAGAGAGATGAGATGATAAAATGGGACCATTTGATCACCTATCTTCCGGGGCAGATGGAGGTGTGCAGGGACCATCACAGAGAGGGGATAATGGGATGAGCCCTGCAGGGCAAGAAGGGGCAGCCCAGTGAGGCAGGCAGGGACCCACCCAGGAGTCTGGCTTGGGGGCTGGTGCTGAGTCATGAATGTGGATTTGGGGTCAGGACTGCTGCTGAATTCTGATGCTGCCCCCTGTGTGTGTGACACAGGTGTGTCACTTCCCCCCAGTCTGTGTTCCTAGGATGAAAGAAATGGGCATCTGGTCTCCCGTGGGGTGGTGGTGGGATTAAATGAGAAGTCTTGGCTGGCACCACAGGCAGGAGCTTGCTTGTGGGCAGCCTCCCCAGGAATGCACACAGTTGGCTGGACTCCACAGGTGCACGCTGGGGCTGCTGCCCTTTTCCCTACAGAGCCTCGCTGGGCCTTACATAACTGCAGGGGTGGGGCAGGCTGTGTGTTTGCCCTGCTGGCCCCATCCCAGTCCCAGGGCTACCACCTTGACCCTTGCAATTCATAGCCCTTGGCTGTAATTCCTTGTTTTTCTGTTGTATTTTGTTGAGCCAAGGTCCCACTATGTAGTGCGTGCGACATAGGCTGGCCTTGAATTCCAATTTGAAGAGATCCTCGCCTCAGTCTTCTGAATACTGGGATTTCAGATGTGTGCTACTATGCCTAGCGATTTTCTTTGTCTTCAAAAAATTGATGTCCAGTCTTCAAGTTTTCCTAGAGTTTGAAGTTCTTTCAGTGTAGGGTGGTTGCAGTCATGAAGCGATTCCTAAATTGAAGACAACCATTTAGGACCTGGGGCTTATGGGGAAACTAGGAGTGGCAGGTTGGGGAATAGCCTGTGCCCCCTTCCTGGTTTCCCCCTGCACATCTTAAGATCCTTTGTGGCCAATAGACCCCAGGGCTGGCAGGACCCTGCGCCCCTCAAGACCCTCCTCTTTATTTTAGTGCCCCTCTCATCTGAGGAGGAACCCAGAGCGGCGTTGGGGTACCTGAGCCCAGGAAAGCCAGCAGGCCGGCCGGGACCGCGAGTGCCTGGCGGAGTGGCAGGCGCAGCCCAGGACTCCGGCTCCCCCTCCTGCTATAGGTGCGGCCCCATTCCCTCTAGGCTCCACCCTGGGCTTCTTGAACGCAGGGCTTGGCCAACTGCTGCCAGCCTGGGCAGCCCATCCCTGCCCTGTGCCTTTCTGGCTGGGACAGAGTCATTGGCCCCTTGATGTCTAGTGCGCAGTGCCAAGCGGGGAGGGGGGATCTCACTCACGTTACCTCGTCTTGGGCCTATGGGGAGTGGGCCAGCATTGTGGCCTCCTGGCGCTCAGTGCACATCTCCCTGGGGCCTGGGTTATCTGGGGAGAGGGAAGGGCAAAGGCCATCCCCTGTTCCATCTGTTTCCCATGCTGGGGGTGTCAGCTCCATGGAGGAGCATCTACAGAAGATGTGAAAAGTGGGCCTAAGCAGGTGGGGTTGGGACAGATCTGGTCATGGCTGAGGTCAGAACTTGGGGTTCTGGAGGGTGAGGGATAGTGTGGAGGGGCACTACGTCTAGCCTTGCCAGAGGCCTGGGACACAGCTGGAGCCCCTTAGTGGTGTATAGTCTCACTTCCCTCTGGAGAGAGCTGCAGGGTGAGCTGCTGGGGCCTTGAGCTGTGGCTGGTGTGAGCAGGTGCTCTATAGTTGAGGAAGAAGTACCCATGCTGGGCCTGGTCTGAAGCAGTGGGCAACACTGCCAGGCAGGAAGACTGGTGGCACCTGGACTCGGATGAGTACCCACCATGTCTGTATCCTCCCCCTTTCACAGTCAAGGCCCAAGGCTTGTGTTCAATCGCGTGAATGGCCGGCGGCCCCTCACCACATCCCCATCCCTCGAGGGGACCCAGGAGACCTACACACTGGCCCACGAGGAGAACGTCCGCTTTGTTTCCGAAGGTAGTGAAGGGCCAGATGGTGTGGTGCAGGCCGCTAGTTCCCAGTAAGGTGGACTGAGCTGGCTCCAGATCCTCTTCTCCACTGCAGCCTGACTCTGCAGCTCTCTGCCCATTTGTCCTGTGACCAACAAGCAGGCTGTTTGCTCCCGGTTTGGGGCTGGAGTCCAGGGTGGCCACCAGGCCCTTGGGTGGGAGGGGTGCTAAGAGCCTGGCTCAGCCTGACCACCATTCCCCTACAGCCTGGCAGCAGGTGGAGCAACAGCTGGACGGTGGCCCCGCCGGTGAGAGTGGGCCAAAGCCTGTGCAGTATGTGGAGAGGACCCCTGATCCCCGGCTGCAGAGTGAGCCCCCAACCCCAACTACCTCAGGAACTTCCCCCCAGACCCTGTATCTTGAGTCTTCAATGTTTTTATCTTCCCTCTGCCCCTCCGACCCTGAACTGGGCCCTGGCAGGTTTTAGCACTAAGAAACTGGGGAGGAGACTCCTGAGCCAACCACCTTTTCCCAGTGCCCCTGGCATGCTTGGAGTGCGGGTGAGGGGCTTATGGTCACCTTGAGGGTAGAGACACCAGTCTGGAAGGTGACATCATTGCCCAGTCTTTTGCTTCTTTGCCCACAGACTTCGTGCCCATTGACCTGGATGAGTGGTGGGCCCAACAGTTCCTGGCTAGAATCACCAACTGTTCATAGTGGCTGCCTGGAATGAATGCTGCCATGGAGGACTTTGCCAGAAGAGGACCATGGTTCCCTGTCCACCATGCGGCCTGGCTGGGCGCCAGCCACACCTGAAGTGCCAGCATTTGGACTTTTGCACCTGTTGTTCCCTTTTGGTCAGCTGTTCCAAGCTGCCAGGGGCCAGGGGCCAAACCTGTCTGACCTCAATCCTGCTTGCTGTACCCAGGGACCAGCCCCTGGGGCTGGCAGAGAAAAGCTCCAGGCTAATAAAGTTGAGAAACTGCCCTCTTGGAGTGGCCTTGCTTTGGAAGTTGTATGGGGTTGTATGGGTCCTCTTGTCCAGTTCCAGTCCTTACCCCTGGACTCCAGGCCCAGCCCAGCCCAGCCTCCCTTTGTAGCTGCGTCCCCTCTGGTACTCTTGGGCCAGCAGGAGCTACAGCTGTCTATAGACTCCATCTCACTCCTTCCCCTTTCCTGTTGGCATCAATGTGCCAGAGCTTGACCTCCAGGCCTAGAGACATTAAAGAACTGGCTCTGTAAAAGTATTTTAGCACCCACAACAGGGGGCTGGTATTAGAATACCAGCTCGTCTCTTGAAGCCAGCAGATTTATGAGACACTGAACAGATGAGACACTAAACAGAGGTCTTGGGGTGTGTAGTGAACCTGTAGGCATGAGTGTGGGAAATTTGGTTGCTGGGGAGACTGCCCTCAACAGACTTCTGGAAGACTGGCACTACTTGGCATGAGGGGCAGGGGTTACCCAGTGCCCCCATAGGATGAGGTACAGCCTGGGCTAGTGCGAATGTGTATAGGCCTCAGTCCTCTCCCTCCTTACACAGAAAAAGGTCCCTAATAAGTGCAGACCCGTACAGATAATCCCAGGGAGGGTCAGCGACTTCCCCACTGTCTCACGACTGATCCAACTAGAGCCAAATCTATAGCTTGAACACGGCCGCAGAGGCCCCAAGAAGAGACGGGAGGGAAAGCCCCAGGGCCGGGGTCACGCGGGCCTTGGGCGCCGCCATGGCCCCGGAAGTGACGCAGTGTTGCCTGGTGTCCGTTGCTAAGCGACGCGCTGCGTGCCCTGCGCGTAGCTGGCGGCAGCCGTAGGCGGGAAGCGCGAGCTGGAGCGCTATGGCCAGAGGTAGCGGCGCGCGGTGGGTTGGCAGCGATCCGGGATGTCAGGGGTCTCGGGGCTTCTTGGGGCCGCAGCCCCGGTGTGTAGGACCCCTTTCCCGGACATAGGTCAGAGTCCCGTTTGGGTTCGCTTGCGTGGCCGATGTCCCTCAGAGGCCTGTATGCCCTGGCTGCGGTCACGCTGGTAAAGACAGAGGGTCTTGGTGCCCTGCCGGTGTGCAGGGCCAGACCTTCAGCCGCGATGCCGCTCCTGCAGCGTGGCAGCACCCGTTCCTCAACGTCTTCAGATACTTCAGGGTGGACGAGTGGAAGCGGTCCAGCAAGGAGGGCGACGTGGCTGTGGTGATGGTACTGATTACTTTCTCCTGGGGGATCCCCTGGATGGGCACTGCAGCTGGGTGCTTCCTGCCCCACTGTGGCCTGCACTCTGCTTGCTCTCTCTCCAGGACAAGACCCTGAAGAGCTCTGTCTATCGAATCCGGGGCTCTGTGTCTGCCAGTAACTACCTCCAGGTTCCCAGAACAAGCACCCAATCTCTGGGCCTAACTGGGCGGTACTTATATGTACTCTTCCGGCCCCTGCCCTCCAAGCATTTTGTCATCCATCTTGATGTGGCTACCCAGGTGCGATCCTTGGGATAGGGCGATGCGTGGTACCCACATGCCTACCACTCCCTCCTCACATCCTGGCTCTGCCCCTGCAGGATGGCCAAGTCATCCGAGTGTCTTTCTCCAATCTCTTCAAGGAGTTCAAGTCCTCAGCCACGTGGCTTCAGTTCCCCTTTGTCTTTGAGACTAGGACATCAAGGAGAGGTGACACTGAGATGGGCCTTGCATGGTTGAGGAAGGCCAGCTGTTAGCCGGAGTGGGGTGGTGCAGGCCCAGCTGTGTTTCTGTGACACACTGGGCAGATGGAGGCAGCACTCAAAGTGGCAGCTGTGGAAATGGGGCTGCAGGGAGGTGGGCACTGATGTGGAGGCCTGTCTTGCAGACCTGGCAGGGATGGTCCCCCCGGGTGCCCGCTGGACCTGCCTGCAGCTTGACCTGCGTGATATCCTGCTGGTCTACTTGAGCCGGTGTTATGGCTACCTCAAGAGTGTTAGGTTGTGTGCCAACCTGCTGGTCAGGAACCTCTACACCAGTGACCTGAGCTTTGACCCTGGTGAGAGCCATGCCCTGTTCCAGTCTGCATGTCCGTCCCCTCTTGTCATCCAGATTCTCTGCCTGAGTGTTGTCTGAGTTCTGGCTTGATGGCACTGGAGGGAAATGGCTAAACTGACTTAGAGCAACCCTGTGCTTTACAGCTGTCACTGTCACTGAGGCCCAGCGAACAAAACTGCCCATCACCCCTGTTCCTCGAGAAATGGCCTTCCCAGTGCCAAAGGGGGAAAGCTGGCATGACCACTACGTTCACATTCGGTGTGTGGCTCTGCCCCTCCCAAGAGAGTTCCTAAGGTGGCAGGAGGAGAGTGGTCCTTGGGCCCCCAGATGCTGACTCTCCCTCCATCCATCAAGGTTTCCAAGTGGCAACCTACAGGCACGTCCTGAGCCAGTTCTGAAGAGCAGGTCCCCTCCTGCAGCAGGTAGGTGCAAGGAGCTGCATGGGAGTAGGGAGGACTGAAGGGGACTTGGTGGTACAGGGCCTGGATTTGGCAAGTGCCTGAAGCACCTGTGGACAGACACAGGACAGACCAGAACTGGACAGTTGGTCAGTTATCTATGCTCTGTTTGTGGTCTGTTCGTGGTTGTCTATGGTCTGGATAGTTAGTTGGCTGTCTGGGAGCGGGGCGAGGCTGGGTAGCAGTATGAGCAGCTGCTGTGGTATACCTTCTGCAGGGAGCAAGGCAGGGGCACCTTCCTCCCCCATCCCTGCAGCACCCTCATGGGTGTCTCTGCTCTGCTCTGTTCAGCCAGTCACTGGGGCTCTTTGCTCTGTTACAGTCTTCCTGGAGCCTGTGCCACCGCTTCCCTCTCCCCTAGTGGCCCTCAGCAAGCCCATGCAGTACAGCTTGTTCCCTGTGGTCCAGAAGCCCAGCCCCAGAACTGTGAGTGCCCCCAGATAGGGCCAGGAAATGGCAACCCCAGGGTGCTGATGGGCACTTGTTCCCCTGCAGTCTCGCCCAGCCCTCTCTGCACCCAAGCTCCTTCCAGAAGTCAGCCAGTCCTGCATGTACTCAGAAGGGTCCAGCCTAGGTGGCCTCAGTGTCTGTAGCCAAGATCCTTCGGCCTGGGTGGAGGCCTCTGATGTCCACACGGTGGTCAGTGCCAGCCACACGCTTGCCCACAAGTCTACTGGCACGCCCGTGGCCCTCAAGGGTGCTGGCTCTCAAAAGGTGAGTCCACATCCTGGGGCAGGAGGAGTATGGGCAAGGTAGGTTAGAGGGCTGCCTAGTCTGGCCCATCCTGAGCTGCCTGCAGGACAGACAGGCCTCTCATATCTCTTCTCACATAGCCTCCCTGCAGAAATAAGAGCTTCCGAGAGGCAGCTTTGGGCAAGAACCCTGCTGAGAGAGTGAAGGGCTTGTTTCCCCAACTCTAAGAGATACCCCAGCCTGATGTAGTCTTTTGGGGCAGGACGTAGGGTTCGTGGAGGGTCTGGCATTGAAGTCAGGAAACCAGCTTCCCATGACAGAACCTCTGGTAAGAATGACCCAGGACCCTGGCAAGTACTCACCACTGAGCTACAGCTCCACTCTAGGCAGAACTCAGCCTGGGGTGGTCAGAGGCAGCCCACGTGGGGCGGGGTGGTGCTGTGCCCTTCTAGGATCTCACTGTATATTTGCCTCTTTTAGCACTTCCTACCGGACCCAGTACTGAGGCTCAAGGGGATCATCGGCTTTGGGGGCCACAGCACCAAATGGGTGAGGGTCCTGTGGCTCTTTGCAGGACGGTTCTCACTGGGCAGTATAAGTGTTGTTGAATACATGGAGGGGGACAGATTTCCATCCACCTTGGCGTCAGGGTCCCTGCACCGCCTGCAGACTCTGCTGGCTTCCCTCTGTTCCTCAGATCCCTGCCCTGCCCACGTCTGCTCAATACTTTGCTGGGCTCAAGGGGGGCCTAAGGTCATAAGTGTCCCCTGTTCCTTTGGCATAGCCTAATAGGCAGTAGCTGGGTGCAAGTGTCCCAAAGACCCAAGAGGCCTGACTCACTTCTTTAGAGCTACCGCAAGGGTGGTCCCTGTGATCCAGACCAGCTTTGTGGGACACAGGCACAGTGTGGGTTCCTGACGGGTGAGGCCTGCTAAGGAAAAACCCCCATTAGAGGAAGTAGCATTTCCCTCCTACCCCTCATTGACCCTGGGCCTGATTTCCTGCTAACCAGACCGAGTTCCTGGGATTGGAGGCAGGGCCTGGTAGACATGCACATGTGTCAGCTATCCCCTTGGTGGCTGTGTCCCATCAACTTCTGTACCTGTAATATAGGGAAGGTATGCACACTTGTGTGCTGGGTTTTCGCCCCCAAACCTCAGCTAAGGAGGAGCTGAAGCTACCTTTTGGGGTCCTGCTGGTGACCTTGGACCCGGCCCTTATGTACCAGGCCCTGTGGACCAAGGATGGGGAGGCTGTGGTTTACCCCTGCCATGCAGTCATCGTCGTATTGCACATCTCCACTCGGGAGCAGCGTTTCTTCCTTGGCCACACGGACAAGGTGAGTGCCATTAGGGCCTGGGTTGGAGGGCACCTGTAGGTCACACACCCTTCTCCACCTTGTACCTCCCAGGTGTCCGCCTTGGCGCTGGACAAGAACAACTCGCTGTTGGCCTCAGCTCAAGTGAAGCCCCCCAGTGTGGTACGGCTCTGGGACTTCCCAACAGGGCAGTGCCTGTCCCTCTTCCGGAGCCCGATGTATGCTGTCTGCTCCCTTAGGTAGGCACAGGGTTTCATCTGGTTCTGGTGGGGTGGCGGTGGGGTAAGCGCTGCTGACTTCCTTGTCCTGTCCACAGCTTCTCCAGCAGCGGGTCTCTTCTCTGTGGTGTCGGCAAGGACCACCAGGGAAAGACGGTAATGATACTGTCCTGGAGAGGAGCAGGCAACCGTGGCCAGAGTCTTTGTTTTGTAAAGTCTGTCTTGGTTTTAAAATAACATGCTTTCTTTGTTTAAAAGGCAAAAAACACAAAGAAAACTTAGCCAGACATGGTGGTATGCTAGTAATCATAGCACTTGGGAAGCTGAGGTAGGAGGATCCGTGGAGCCAGCCTGGTCAGCATAGCTAGACCCCATCTCCAAAAAAGTTCAGTGACAGACAACAGTGGCTCCCCTCCTCTGCCTCCTTCCTGGTAGGGATTCCTGTTGCCCTGACAATGTACGCTCTGGGCTTTGGCGCTCTGGGGAACCTGTGCCTGCTTCATGAAAAGATACCATAGGGAGTGGCTCATTTTTCATCCCTGGCACAATTGGTGTCATTATAAATCAGTAAACAACTCACCTATCCTCTCTTGTCACATGTTATCGGGGAACACACCCAGCATTTGCACTGAGCTACATCCCTAGTCTTCCTTTTTTTTTTTTTTTTTACTTTGAGCCGGGAATCTCACTAAATCACTGAGCTGTCCAGGCTGAACTTGATCTCGTGATCCTTCTGTCACTGCCTCCCGGAAGTCCTAAGACTACACACATGTGCTGTCACACCCAGCTAAGATGGTCCCACCTGCCCTGCCCCTTACTAGGGATCGAACTCAAGACCTTGCGCTTGTGAGGCAGGCACACACAGTGCCTGAGCTAATTCCCCAGCTCCCCAGCCCCAGAAATACACGTTTTTTGTAAGTCGCATCTCTGAAGCCAACCTGGTATGACAGTCAGTGACTCCTTGGTACTGAAGTGTCCCAGCATTTCACGTTGCCAATGCCTCTTGTTTTATTATCCATTTTTCTATTTGTGGGGCAGATTTTTTTTTTTTCTTCATATGAGGTTGCAGTACCTATCTAAGCTCATCTCTGAGGAAATCCCAGAGTCAGCCACATTTGGGACCAGTGTGTTGCAGGGCCTGATCTCCCCACCCTCAGCAGCCCAACTGCTCAGAGGCTGAGATTTGCATGAGAGAAGAGCCATTGCCTAGAGGGGTTTACCTGGGACTCACTGAATCAGGGCAGCATCTGTGGCCAGTTCAACTTGGGTTTGTTGCAGGTGGTGGTGGCATGGGGCACGGACCAGGTGAACCTTGGTGGCGAGGTGGTAGCTCTCGCGAAGGTGCATGCTGACTTTGATATCCAGACCTTTCAGGTTTCTCCTTTGGATGAGACCAGGTGACAGGGCTGGTCCATGGTGCTGAACAGGGTCCGTGCCTTGAGCCCCTCAACTGCCCAGTGTACTCACTCCTCTGTACCTCCTGCAGGATGGCGTCGTGCGGGCGGGGCAGCATACGGCTGTGGCGGCTTCGTGGCAGGACGTTGCGCTCCTGCCCTGTGGACCTGGAGGAGCACTGTGCACTGGAGCTCAGTGACCTCGCCTTTTCACAGGTCCTGGAGAGCTGCCAGGTGCCCTCCGTCCACACTCTGTAAGCTCCTGCCCTTCCCTACCTCCTGCTGCCCAGCCCACCCTGTGACCCCAGAGCCTTGCCTCACCTTTTCCCTCCCTGTGCAGTTATGTGTGCAGCCGCAGCGGCCACATCCTGGAGATTGACCCCCAGTGCATGGCCTTGCGGTACATCTACCACCTGCTGCCCACGGGGGTCCCGAGTGACTCCCTCCCCAGAAAGCAGCCCTTCGGTGCAGGTAGGGGGGTTCCGGCTTGAGGGGTAGGTGGCTTCACCCTGAGGCACTGATGCCCAGGCTTCCTAGGCCCTGGCATTGCCATCAGCAGCCTCAGCGTCTCTCCAACTACGTGTGCCGTGGGCTGTGAGGACGGTTACCTGCGACTCTGGCCTCTGGACTTCTCCTCAGTGCTCCTGGAGGCAGGTAAGGCCACGAGTGTGTGCCCCTCCTCAGAGATGGATGAGAGCCCTGGGAGGGAGGGGCTGCGCTGTATGGGAGGCTGGCCACGTACTGTGGCTCTGTCTTCACTGGGGCCACTGAAGGCATCACAGGAAGGCACAAAGTGGCAGCTGGTGGGCAAGGTACTAATAAGGGTCTGGGTTACAGTTAGAAGTGGCCCTCTTCAGGGAGCTGCCTCTCCCAGCCTGTAGGTAGCCTAGTGCCCTTGGCAGGAAGGGGATGGGTTGTCTGTGTCTTGGGGGCCTCAGTGCCCCAGAATGTAGAGAGTCTGAGGTCAGCTCTGGTGCCCAGTGGGCCCCAGAGGTTGCTGACATTGCTTTTCCCCAGAGCACGAAGGTCCCATCAGCTCCGTCTGTATGAGCCCAGATGGTCTCCGAGTGCTCTCCGCCACTTCATCAAGCCACTTGGGCTTCCTGGACATCCCTTCCCGAGAATACACTGTGCTGGCCCGCTCCCATACGGCTCCAGTGCTGGCGCTGTCCGTGGGGCAGAGCCGGGGGCAGCTGGCCACTGTGTCCCTGGATCACACTGTCCGCGTCTGGGACCTGAGCACCCTGCAGCAGGTTGGAGGCGGCAGAGGGAAGGAAGGGCGGGGAGGGGCTGGGCACTCCTGGGGCTCTTGGCCCTTCCAGCCCCACTTCAGCTTCTGCCCTTGCCCTGTCCTCCAGCTGGGTGACTTCACATCTTGTGACGAGACCCCCTGTGCCGTCACCTTCCACCCAACGTGGCCAGCTGTCTTCTGCGGCTTTAGCAGTGGAGCCATGCGTGCCTTTGGCCTAGAGAGTGCTGGGGTCTTGGTGGAACACACGTGCGTCCCCAGTACAGAGGCCCATGGTGGAAGCGAGTGGTTTGTGGGATCCCTGGGTGGAAAGCATCTGCAGCTAAGCCAGTGCAGCCGACAGCCCTGCCTGTGCGGCTCCGTGGGCTGAGGTCAGTGGGCATCCTCGTGTGTGCTGCAGGTGTCATCGAGGAGCCATCATTGGCCTGCTGGTTACCCCTGATGGCAACTTCCTGTTCAGCTCCTGTTCTCAGGGCACCCTGGTTCAGTACAGCTGCGCCAGCTCTCAGTGCCACCTCCTCCGTGTAGCAGGTCAGCCCCTCCCGCCCCTCGGACTAGTCCCAAGGTGCTAGATTGCCCGTGCTGAGATATTTGGGGCCCACGTGATACTAGATACTATCTCCCTAGCCTTATATCCAGATCCCTGGAAAGGATTTTGCTTTAGGGTTCACACGTACCCCTTGGCCAGAGATCAGTGACGGTCTGCCTGCCCTGCCCCAGCAGGAGGTGGGCAGCCTGAGCACCAGGTAGAGGTTAGGCTGGGCCAGAGGGCATCTGCCTCTTCTGTGGCCAATGTAACTTGGGCCAGCCAAGTTGTCCCTTGGTTGTCCCTCCTGGCCCCAACAAGGACTCCCAACTTTGCTCATAGTGCCTGGCGTCTACCTGGACCTTAGATTTCATGCCCAGGCCCTTTGGCCTGTGAGGGAGTACACTCCCCTGCTGATGTTTCCCACACACGCGGGCAGGGCAAGGCAGCATTTCCTCAGGCTCCCCATATGTACTGTGGTGCTACCCTTCTGCCCGCTGACCTGGTGCCCTGTGTTACCCCAGACAACATGGTGTGCCAGGATGCCCAACCACACCCCAACACCCTAGCAGTCAGCAGAGATAGCCGCCTGCTGGCCTTTGTGGGCCCCTCCAAGTGCACGGTGACAGTCACGGACTCAGCCTCTCTGGATGAGGTGAGTCTGCGGGAAATCCTTGGTCCAGGAATCCTTTCCTTGGCTGGGCATGGAGTACCAGGGGGTCCAGGGAGCGAGTAGGCAGCCATAGTCATTCCATAACAGGCTCTGGCCCCATCATACCTCACTCGTGAATGCAGAGAGCTAGTCAGCCAAGGGAGCACTAGAACGGCCTTTCCGTCCTTGGGGCAAGGGCTCCCTCCTTCCCTGGCTTTAGCTGGTGCCATCCTGCCTGGAGCTCACAGGCAGAGGTCATTTTTTTGCCCCAGCTGCTGCGGGTCAACATTAGCACTCTGGACCTGGCCAGCGGCTGCCCGGACTCAGCTGTGGCCATCTGCTTTGGCCCTACATCCCCAGGCCACCTACTTGTGTCCACGTCATCCAACAAAGTTATGGTATTGGATGCTGTGTCAGGATGCACTGTCCGGGAGGTGAGCCCTGGGACTGTGGGCCACTGGCATGTCTGCCTTTCCCTCTGTTCCTACAGCCCCTCCCTCCAGCCAAGGGGGCTGTGGCTGTTCTGTGAGGAGTGGACACCCGCAGGCTACCTGCTGCCCACTAGAGGGCATTTTCCAAGAACAGTTTATTGCAGCTTTCTAGTGCCCGCCCTGTGGCTTGTGCCTCCCTTGCTCTCAACAAGGATGCCTCTTTCTTGCTGGCGGCCTCTGGCCAGGCCATTGAAGTCTGGGAGTACTCAACGCATTCTGACCCCAGCTGCCAGGTGTGTCTCATGGGCAGGCAGGAAGCTCTGGTGCTTGATCCTTGGATGCCCAGGGGGGCTATGGGCACAGCAGTGCTGATGGGGCAAAGAGGGCAGAGAGTTAGACCGCAGCACCATCTGTGTCTGCCAAGGCCTAATGCTACGTGGGCCTTCTTAGTGCTTGGCCCATCAGGGCTCTGGGAGCACACAGCAGCATGTCCTGCGTGTAACAGCCGCACTGCCCCTAGGTGTACATCGGTCACTCAGAGCCCGTGCAGGCTGTGGCCTTCAGCCCTGACCAGCAGCAGGTCCTCAGTGTGGGGGATGCCATCTTCCTCTGGGATGTACTGGCCACTCCTGAGAGGCAAGTATCTGTCCTTGATGGTGTGCACTCGGGTCTCTTGCTGGTCCCCTCCTGATCGCTTTCTCCTTGCCTCCAGTAACCGAAGCGTGCCCAGGGCCTCCCCGCCCCGTGAGGCCGGTGAGTGGTCTAGGTGTGGCTACAAGGGGAGGGTGTGAAACACGGCAGGTTGGGCTGCCAGGTGTGGGGAGTACCGCTTCTCCCGTGTCTCAGATGCCCACGACCACTGTAGAGGCTGCCCCCCCGAACGAGTCTGCCACCCCACCCTGAGCTGCACATAGCTGCTTTCATCTCCAGGCCCAGACACCAGACAGCTGGAGGATGTCATTTCCGAGTACCGGGGGCTCCCCTGGCAGCAGGTGTCCACAGCCCAGCTAGACAGCCGCTCCAGGCCCCCCAAGGGCAGTGATGGTGAGGGGCAGGGTCCTGGGAGGGTCTAAGTGCCATGTACACTTTCTGGGGTATGTGGTGTAGGGCCAGACAGTGTGGGCTCTTCTTCCTTTTCTTGCTGTCTGTCCCCCTGCCCCAGGCACATTCTCCACATCAGAAGAGGAAGGATGCTGTGAGGAAAGCCACCATCCCACAGCACTCCAGAAGTCCCCCAGGCCTCTTGTGTTTGTGAAGAAGGAGTCCAGTGGGGCTGGAGACAGGGCCTGGGGGGCTGTCAGTGTCCGTGGCTCCCGGTGGCACCATAGCCGGCCCAGTAAGCAGGGAAGGACTTTGTGTGGAGCAGGGCCTCTGGAGAGTGACGGGCAGTTCTGAGTCCTGGCTGGCCTTTCTTTTCCCTGCCAGGTGCCTGGAGTACCAGGAAAGTAAGAGCCCAGACCCCTCCCCGCCCGGATTCCTACAAGCACTTCACCGCCCGCTATAAGGCCTCCATACGGGCCAAGGTTGGCTGCCCTCCACTCTGCGGGGAAGGGGTTTGGTGGAGCCCTCCTCCCTAGTGAAAATGAGCCCTGTCAGGGTCCCTTCCCCAAGATCTCCTTGGGACCACTACTGGTTGTTGGAGGCTTGCTTCGGAGAGAACCTGTTCCTTCCATCTTGTGGCATCCAGCCTGGACTTTGGTCATCCTGCTGCCCCACCTCTACCTCTTACTGGCTGTTACCTCTTCTCATCTCAGATTCAAGTGCATCAAGCTCTGCAGCACCCCCGCACCTCTCTGCACCCCCAGCTCAGACCCCTGCTGGCCTAGGTGTGCCCTGAAGCAGCTTCCATGGGTGGGATTTGGGGCCTAGGCAGCCTTGCCGGACACAGCACCCTGGGTCTGCTTTCTTACAGGACATCTGCCCTCCTGCTGGTGGTGAGAAGCTGCACCTGAAGGCTGTGGTGGGTTACAATGGGAACGGCCGGGCCAACATGGTCTGGAGGCCCGACACAGGTAGGTCAAGGAGTCCCCGTCAGAAGGTACAGGGCAGGGGCAAGCGGCCTGTTCCAAGCTAGACTTTCGTGGGTAAACAAGTTCTGGCTGTCAGCAAGAAGGCCCCGGAACGAGTGAGGAGAGGCACCGACACAGAGCTCCCGATCATGTCTTTGGCATTGCAGCCCACATCCCAAGGATCTGTGGCTTTAGCAGTGACAGGGAGGATGTACCCCAGGGAGGTTGGTGCTTTCTCTGCCTGCAGGCTTCTTCGCCTATACATGTGGCCGCCTGGTAGTGGTAGAAGACCTGCATTCTGGAGCCCAGCAGCACTGGCTCGGCCACCCCGAGGAGATTTCCACACTGGCCCTCAGCCACAATGCCCAGGTACCTGGTCTCATCTGCTCTGTCTGCTCCCAGGGCGATGGTACACGGCAGAGTCTGGTTCTCACCACTGACAGTGAGAGGGACTCGATCCCAGCCTCCCCTTCACCCAGAGTCACGCCTTCCCTACTGACTGCTTCATCGCTTCACACCTACCAGGTCCTGGCCTCTGCATCTTGCTGTGGCAGCATGGCTGCCCTCTGTGAGATCCGCCTCTGGGATGTGCCTGGGGGCCTGTGCCAGCAGCTCATCTCCCAGCACAACAGCGCGGTGCAGGCCCTGGCCTTCTCACCAGACGATTTACTCCTCGTGACGCTGGGTCAGTGGGCAGGGACTGGCAGAAGGGAGGGCTTCCTGGACCACTCTTGCCTGATAGGGCCGCCTGTGCATCCCCAGGGGACTACAGTGACTGCACCCTTGCCTTGTGGAGCACGGCTACCTATGGACTCCTGTCATCTACTCGCCTTCTGGAGCCCATGCATGGTGTGGCCTTCAACCCCTGGGACACAGGCGAGCTCACTTGTGTGGGCCCAGGTGCCATCACCGTCTGGCACCTGCAGCAGTGTGGGGCAGACGTCCGCCTCCAGGTGTCAGGCTTTCGGCTTGGTGTTCAGGTCCACAGGTAATTTTGGGGTGGAGTCTGGCAGGGCTCCTGAGACACTGCTGACCCCCAGCCACCCTCCTGCCCTGCCAGGTCCACCGAGAGACAGTCCCTGAGGAAGTGAGGGCGGCCGAGCTGACCTCCCTCTGCTACGGCGCTGCCCCCCTGCTCTACTGTGGCTCTAGCTCTGGCCAGGTCTGCGTTTGGGACACAAGTGCCGGCCGCTGCTTCCTGGTCTGGGAGGCAGATGATGGCGAAATTGGTGGGTCCCAGATGTAGCCGGTGGCCCCTCGTGGGTTAGGACTTTGTGATCCTGGGACGGGAGGCTGTCTGGGGACCACACCCACCCCGCCTCTACGCCATCTCCAGGGTTGTTGGTGTGCTCGGGGTCCAGGCTGGTGAGTGGCAGCAGCGCACGGCGACTGCGCCTGTGGGCCGTGGGGTCTGTGCCCGGACTGCGACGCAAGGGCTCAGGTGCCAGGTGAGCCGCCGTACCGTGCCGCTGGCAGGCCAGGGCTGCCCTCAGATCTGTCACCAGCTGGGCCCCTCCTTGGGGCCAGGCCCTGGACATGACGGCCATGACTGCCCTGTCACCTGGCTCTTGTCTCCTACTTCAAGATGTGCTACTCCATCTCCTCCCCAACTCAGGTCCAGTTCTGTGCTCGTGGAGCGTGAGCTGACTCTAGATGGGGCCGTGGTGAGTGCCAGCTTTGACAGTGGCATGGACATGGGCATTGTGGGCACCACAGCCGGCACGCTCTGGTATGTCAGCTGGGCCGAGGGCACCAGCACTCGTTTCATCAGTGGCCATAGGAGCAAGGTGAGGCACTGGGCTGGGAGGGACGATGCTAGAGGGGAGACCGGCAAGCATGTTTGGTCCCCTCCGGCAACCCCTGTCCTCTCTGGTGATCGGAGTCCCCAGCTCAGTAGTGACCACCGAGGAGTCCCAGAGTGGGCTCTTGAGCACGCTTGTCATGTAGGTCCAGCTGGGATCTGTGCGAGGCGGTGGTCTTATGATCTCAGTAAGGATTCTAGATCTTTCCTTTCTCTTACTTTTTCTTTTTCGGGGGTCCTGAGGATAGCATTCAGGAGCTTCATACTAAGCTCTACCCCCCTCTTTGAGATAGCATCTCACTAAGTCAAGAAATTGCCCAGGCTGAGCTCAAACCTGCAGTCCTCCTGCATCAGCCTCCCAGAGTGCTGGTATGACAGGGTGTGTGCCACCAAGCCTGACTAATCTCACTTTCTTTGTTGTACTTGTTGGATACACACCCTGTCATTTGTCCTGACAACTCCCCCGGACTGAGGTCTGGGAGACAGGCGGTCAGGCAGGTTCTAGCAGGTGTCATGAGATCTGGTCAGATTCTAGTGTGTTCTTATTTTTATTTACTTATTTTTTAAACGTGTTCTTATTGAGTCTAGTCAGGTTCTGGTTGGGTCTGGTCATGTCTGGTCAGGTTCTGGCCAAGAACTGGTTGTGTCTGGTCAAGTTCTGGTTTGGTTTGGTCAGGTCTGGTCAGTTTCTGCTCAGGTCCTAATTAGGTATGAGTCAGGGTCTGGTCAGATCTGAGTCAGGTTCTGGTCTGATGTGCTCAGGGATTGTCAAGCCTGGTCAGATTTGGTCAGATCTGTTTGGGTCTGATCAGGTTCTGGTGGGGTCTGTCAGTTATATTTGGATTTGGTTGGGGTTCTGGTCATATCTGGTCAGGTTCTGGTTGGGTGTGGTTAGATCCATTCAGGTCTGGGCAGGGTCCGCCAGTCCTTAGCCACTTCAGAAGCAGCACACTGTCCTTGGTGGGAAGTATGGGGGCTCCTGGCAGGGGGGTGTCACTACCATGCATGTTGCGAGCAGGGCTCTGGTTCTGTTCCATCTCTGCTGAGGGGCTGCAGACTTCCGGAGAGAAAATGGCCTTGGAAGCTACAGTTCCAAAGGCAGAGCTAGTAGCAGAGCAGCATGTCAGCACTTGCCCAGTTCTTGTCCATTGTGGCTAGGTTCCCGAGCATCAGGTGGCTCCTGGGGTAAGCCAGTGTGCCGGTGTGCTTTGTCCTTGGCTGCCTCTGGTGTGTATTTCAGAACATGTCTGGGTCCCGCTTCACTGTGGCTTATTGTATTTTTCTATCATGGAGTCCTGCCTTCAATAGGCATGAGACTCACAGAGTTGAGTTATTTTGTCTTGACTTTTCTTTTCTTTCTCTCTCTTTTTTTTTTTTTGTTTGTTTTTTGAGACAGGGTCTCACTATGTAGTTGAGACTGACCTGGAACTCACTATGTAGCCCAGGCTGGTCTCAAACTCACAGCGATCCTCCTGCTTCAGCCTCCTGAGTGCTGGGATTACAGGCGTGCACCACCACACCCAGCTCTCTTCTCTTCTCTTCTCTTCTCTTCTCTTCTCTTCTCTTCTCTTCTCTTCTCTTCTCTTCTCTCTTCTCCTTCCTCCTCCTCCTCTCCCTTCTCCTCTTCTTCCTTCTTCTTCTCTCTCTCTCATTCTCTCTGTTTTTATTTTATTCTTTTCGTTTTTTGTTTTTTTAAGACAGGGTCTCACTATGTAGTTGAGACTGACCTGGAACTCACCATGTAGCCCAGGCTGGTCTCAAACTCACAGGGATCCTCCTGCCTCAGCCTCCCGAGTGCTGGGATTACAGGTGTGCGCCATCACACCTGGCCTATTTTATTCTCATTTTTGAGACAGGGTATCACTATGTAGTTCAGGCTGGCCTTGAACTTGCAACGATCCTCCTGCCTCAGCTTCCTGAGGGCTGGGATCACAAGCATGTGCCACCAGTGCTTAGCTTTTCTTTTTCTTTTTCTTTTTTTTTTTTTGAGAGTCTCATTAAATTGCCCAGCTGGGCTTGAAGTTAGGATCCTCCTCCTGCTTTGGTCTTCTAGACTGTTAGGGTTACAAGCATGCTGTAATCACTGTACCTGCTTCCTACTCCTTTTTACAAAAATCTATTTCTTATTTGTTTGTTTGTTTGTTTTATTTTTTGCTGTTACCAGGGATCGAGCTCAGGTCCTTGCCCTTGCGAGACAGACAGCGGAACCACTGAGCTACATCCCTGGCCCTGTCTTTATTTATTCAAAGATAAGGACTGGGATGTAGCTCAGTGGTAGAGCATTTATTTGCCTATATGAAGCCCTAGGTACAATACCAGCACTACAAAAAACAAAAAACAAAAAGAATTATTTGAAGATAAGGATAGTTGTTAAATCTGAGTTCGAGATGGAGTGAGGGAGGGAGGCTTACTTTTCTGTGTGGCCACAGGTTTACCGAGGTACAATGTATAGACCATGTGCCTCATCCATTTAAAACGAGTGATTTTTAGCATCTTCAGCAGAGTTGTGTGGCACCGTCTCAGTCACATCACCTCAAAAAGAAAGCCCTATTTACCAAGCACCCACTCCCCGTGTCCTGTCTCCTCACTCCTGGCAACCACTCATCGGCTTCGTCTCCGTGGGTTGCTCCTTTGGGCAGTCTCTGTTTTGTAGGTTCATCAGGCGGCAGCGTGTTCTTCCTTTTTTTTTGGTACGGATCAAACTTGGGACCTTGCGCTTGCGAGGCAGGTGGTGGAACCACTGAGCTACATCCCTGGCCCGCCTTTTTTTTTTTTTTCTTTTTTTAATGCTGGGATTGAGCCCAGGCCTTAGCATGCAAAGTAGACACTATAAGCGCTCTACCTCTGAACTATATCCCAGCCCTGAAGTATTTTCCTAAAATGATGTGCAACATGAATTCACACTTGCATTTGAAATTATAATTCAATGCTGGGCCTTTTCACTGAACCTCAGTGGTGCATAGCATGTGCACTTCCTGTCTCCAAAAACCCTTGATTCTTAGTGACACCTACCTGATGTCATATCTCCTTCCACCTTTGACATACATTCAACCTTAGGGAAAACCGAGAGGCCACTAGGCTCATACCACTGAACTCAGCTGGGGGTGCCTCAGTGTTTGTCCGTACGGTCTGCTGAAGACACACAGTTACTTACTGTGTTTCAGATTCTGCCACCTACCCCTTCCACAGAGGCCCATGTTCCCCTGGCCGGTGGGTCCCACCGATTCTGCTGGTCTGTTGCTTTACACCACCTGGAGGTGTCGGGGCCAGATGGGCTTGGGTAGGAGACAAGTGCTCTGTGTGGACAAGGTGGCCTTGGCAGCTGGGGTAGACAAGGCCCCATTGACGGTCCCCTCAGCCCAGTGGGGTCCTCACAGGTGAACGAGGTGATCTTCAGCCCTGGCGAGTCATACTGTGCCACCTGCGGAGAGGACGGGAGTGTGAGGGTGTGGTCCTTGGCCAGCATGGAGCTGGTAATCCAGTTCCAGGTGCTGAACCAGGTATGTGGGAATGGGGCTTCCTCTGGACTCAGCCTCGGGCCGATGCCCTGTCCCCACTTCCTGGGCAGTGCTGAGGTTTCGCCACCATGGGTCCCCAGAGCTGTCTCTGCCTTGCATGGAGCCCCCCATCCTGTGGACATCCAGAGCAGCAGCAGGTGGTGGCGGGCTACAGTGATGGCACACTGCGTGTCTTCAGCATCTCCCGTACCGCAATGGAGCTCAAGATGCACCCCCACCGGGCTGCAGTGACAGCCGTTGCCTTCTCCGCCGACGGTGAGGAGCCGGGGGTATGCAGGGTGACCACACCAGATGTTCAGGCTGGGGCTGGGCTCACAGGCCTGGTCCCCGCCTGCCCCAGGTCAGACCATCCTCTCTGGAGACAGGGACGGGCTTGTGGCAGTGAGCCGCCCCCGCACAGGAATGACCTTCCGTGTGCTGAACGACCACCGGGGTGCTCCAGTCTCTGCCATCCAGAGCACTCACAAAGAGGTGAAGCATCCTCAAGAGCTGGTAGGGAGGGGCCTGGGGTGAGGCCAGGCAGGATGGTGGGTACCTTGGGGCAAGAGGTACCCATAATCCTCAACCCCCAGTACAGAGACCTAGGGGTAGAAGGTGAAGACCTGTGGCTGGCTGCCAGTGAGGACCAGCGGGTCAGTGTCTGGGCCTCCAACTGGCCAAGGAACCGCTGCGAACTCCTGGACTGGTTGAGCTTCCCAGCACCTGCTGCTCTGGAGGTAAGTGTCCAGTGGTACCCGGGTGGTGACCATGCCTGCCTACCCCGCCACAGCATGTTACACTCCTCTGCAGACCTCAGGCCTCCCTCCACCCTCCCTCGCTGCCTTCTGCCCATGGGACCCAGCACTCCTGGTCTGTGTGGGCCTCGGCCCACGTGAAGAGGTGGTCTTCTACAGCCTCCGCCAGAAGCAGGTGTGTATACCCTGCCTAGGTGTATACACCAATGTCCGGGGCTTTGGAGCCCAGGTCAGGCGCTGTGAGAGCCCGAGTTGTACTCCAAGCAGAAGCCCCTGCTGCCCTGGTCTGGAGGTCCAGAGCCTCATCCTAGCTGTCCACAGGTGGTAGAGAAGATACTGCTACCATTCTTCGCCACATCCCTGAGCCTCTCCCCGGGGGCCTGCCTTATGGCTGTTGGCTTTTCTGGTAAGTGCTGGTGGATGCAGATTCAGGCCTGCCTTAGGTACCCTGAGCCAGCTTAACTGCACCCCGCAAGACACACACCTTGTCTCTGTGCCTCAGGCTCCTTGTCCACGAGAGGGTATAAGAAGATACCTGCCCCAGGGAGTGCTTAGGCTCAGGAGATAAGGTGGGGGAGCGCCAGCACAGCACTGGCTGGGGTCTGAGTGAGAGAAGGTAGTGGCACCAGGGAGGCCTTAGCTGGCCCAGACACAGGGCTACAGGAGCCCAAGTGTGGGACTGCAGCAGGCCCCTAGCAGTATCTGTTGCCTATACCAATACCATGTGCAGCCGGGGACACAGAGGGAAGGAACAGGGGACCCTGCAACGTACCTTCTGACCTTCCCACCTACGCCCTTTGCCCACAGAGTGCATACTGAGCCTGGTGGACTGTGCGTCAGGGACCACCCAACACTTCGCTGGCCATGACGATGTGGTGCACCTGTGCAGGTTCACCCCCTCGGGCAGGCTGCTCTTCACGGTGGCCCACAGTGAGGTCCTGGTGTGGGAGGTCCTGAGCCCTTGAGCTGCAGTGGACCTGCCTCCCAGGTGCCCCAGCAGGCGTGCTGGGCCCTGGGGCAGAGAAGCCAGTGTGGATGGTGACATGCTGGGCTGAGATGACTGGGACTGACTCTAAACCGTCAGGCCTAAACTATCTTGAATCCTGGTGACCTGAGAGGACTTGAGGGTATAACTAATAGGTCATGTGCTCAACACAGGAAAAAAAAATGAGAATACTCTTTGGCTTTTTACCTAAAGGTTTTTTAATGTTTCTACTTTGTACAGTTTAAATAAACATAGGCATTTATTGTATTTTGCTATATTATTTTATTATGATCCTATCATTGCATCTCCATTGGTCACTCCTGTCCTAAGTTCATGCCCTGCCATGCCCAGGAGCCTCCTGCTGCTCGTCCAGGACCGCGCTCCTCCCTGCCTACCTGCCGAGGGTAGGTGGGATGCACCTCCACAGCGGGGCCGGCGCCATCCTGCGGTGGCGCTGTTGCACTCCCTTAGTCACTAGTGCGGCTGCGCGGGTGGGACCGGAAGTACGGGTGGGGGCGGTGCTAGAGACCGGAGGTGTACGCTGGTCGAACGCGGGGCGGGGAACCCGCTGGGTCTAGGCGGGTCGGGTTCGAAGGTCTGGGGTCCAGAGTCTAGGGTGGATCAAGACCCAGGCGGGCAGAAGCAGGCGTAACCATGAGGCGGGATGTTCGTATCCTGCTGCTGGGTGAGGGTAGGTGCCTGGCCGCAGGCGGGTCGTGGAGGGGTGGACGGGGCGCCGTAATCTAGGCCGCCCGCATCACTGCCTCATCCCACCCGCGCAGCTCAGGTGGGAAAGACGTCGCTGATCCTGTCACTGGTGGGCGAGGAGTTCCCGGAGGAGGTGCGCTGGCGCCGAGGGCAGACGGAGGAGGTGGGCGGGGTCTCGGCGGCAGGGCTAGGGGATGAGACCCGGTCTTCTCTTAACCTCTTACAGGTCCCAGCCCGCGCAGAGGAGATCACCATCCCAGCCGACGTCACCCCGGAGAAGGTGCCCACCCACATTGTGGATTACTCAGGTAGCAGTCGCACCGACCACAGGTTGCTTCCTCTGACCTCCCTGTAGAGGGTCTTCAGCAGGCTATCTCTCCTCTTAGAATCCGAGCAGACTGATGAGGAACTCCAGGATGAGATCCACAAGGTGCGGCATATTTACAAGCATGGCTCAGCATTCTCAGCCACAGCCACCTCGGCCTAATCAGCTTCACCCATCTGGGGAGCTGGATTAAGGCTCTGGGCTCTCCATAGACTGATAATTCTTGGGTGAACTCTGAGCACCCAAGAGTTGTGTGGCGTCCAGGACAGACCCTTCTGCAGCCAGGACTTGCTAGACACTTCAGTAGTGCTCAGGGAGAGGAGAGACTTCGGATCTGTGAGGAACAGCCCTGTGTCCTTGAACCTCTGTGCTTTGGTCCTGTCTCTTGACCTCCAAGCTGTGGTGGGGGTTACACTTCACTGGGGCTCATATGATAAAAGCAGCTGTGATGCCAGGGCTCAACCCCTGTGGCATCCCCTGTGACCTGCAGTATTGTCTTAGTCAAGGGTTCAGGCACCATGGGCTGGATGGGCAGCTTTATCTCATCTCTGTCACCCTGGCTGCTTGTTATAAGGTGAAAACAAGAGGTAGAGGCCATGAGTGGGTCCCTTTCACCTACATCTTCCTGATCTAGATGATGTGTTTGGCTTGAGCACTCTATTATCCAGACCCATGGTGCTGGGGCGTAGTGTCTGCATTGGGTTTGGAGGGCTTGAGGGGGAAGTCCTCTGAGGCTGAGCAGTGGCCTCCAGTCCCCGGTGTGACACAGCTAGGGAGCACCTGCCCTGTAGACACCTGGCTGGGCCAGGTTCCAGGAAGGGTGGGTTTCCTGGGCCGTGGGTCCGTACCTGGGACATGCTGGAGCCTTGGGCTATGTGGAGTAGCTTCTGGTCACCCTGCACCTCGCTGCTCCCCCTGCAGGCAAACGTGGTATGTGTAGTATATGACGTGTCCAAGGAGGCCACCATCGAGAAGGTGAGCAGGAGGGGGCTTCCCATCTGTCCCAGGTCCCTGTTGTTGGCACCTGGCTCAGTCAGCAGCCTGTTCTCACTGTAAACCCAGATAGCATATAGTGGACCTTCGTGGTCCAAGTGGACCCTCACCCACTCTCGTGGGTGCCTCTCGTGGGTATCTGCTGTTTCAGGGATCCCCACACTTGAGTTGGGGTGAGTGTCCTGGGACCCCATCTTGCTGGAGAGAGCCTAGAATGATCGGTCTGGACTCTTTAGGCCAGCAGCCTGTTTCCTTCCCTGGCCCCAGAATCCCAAGGGGTAATGATCAGGGACCCTAGCCCACTTGTGAAGGGGAGGTTTGCAGTTGCTTAGATCAGCTGAGGTCCTATTTGCCATCTCCTTTTTTTCTCACCGGCTTCATTCCAGTGGCTGTAATTTTGACCCCTACTCGGCTTCGGTCTCTTTGCTCCTTGAGCTGGGTGCAGGCTCCAGGCAGACCATGGGCAGGGCAGGCAGCCTCATTTCATTGCCAGCGTTTGCCTTTCAGATCCGTACCAAGTGGATACCGCTGGTGAATGGCAGAACTGAAAGTGGGCCCAGGTAACAAGCAGGGGATCTGGGGGGATCAGCCCCCTCAGCCCCCCATCCCTGATGACCATGAGCATCTCCCCAGGGTGCCCGTCATTCTGGTGGGCAACAAGTCAGACCTGCGGCCAGGAAGCAGCATGGAGGCTGTGCTGCCCATCATGAGCCAGTTTCCTGAGATAGAGACCTGTGTGGAGGTGAGCAGAGATGTGGAGAAGGCACGGGAAGGAGGAGGGGCTTGGCTGAGGACGGGAACGCGCACGCCCTGCAGCAGGTGCCTGTGTGGTTCAAGCCTGACCCCTGTGCCTGTGTTTTCCTTGGGTGCCTCCCGGGTCCTGTCTTGTCCTGTACTCTCCCAGTGTTCAGCCAAGCACCTGAGGAACATCTCAGAGTTGTTCTACTATGCCCAGAAAGCTGTTCTGCACCCCACAGCCCCCCTCTATGACCCTGAGACAAAGCAGGTGAGCGGTGGGTGGGGGCCCCACACTCTGCCCTAAGCTCTTGTGGGTATTGGGTGGGGAGAGTAAGCAGGTGGGTGGCGGGGCGGATCAGGTGAAGGCCACCTGCAGCACTGAGTTGCTGTCCCTGCAGCTGAAGCCCAAGTGTGCCCAGGCCCTCACGCGCATCTTCAGGCTCTCGGATCAGGACCTGGACAACTCACTTAGTGATGAGGAGCTCAGTGCTTTCCAGGTGTGCTCCCTGCCCCATGATACCCACCCCCAGGCCACAGTCACTATCAGTGACATGACCTGCAACCAAGGGCAGCTAGTTGATCTGAAGCAACTTCTTCTTGGAGGCAGAAGTCCTGCTTCGGCCACCCCTTGGCCCCACAGGCCTTGGAGGACTTAAAGAGGGTGGTATGCAAGAATGTGCCAGGTGGTGTGCAGGATGACCGGCTGACCCTGGATGGTAAGGCAGATGTGCTGCCTGGCCCTGGTGTGGGGAGTGGGCTGTGCTATGGTGGATGCTACCTCCTCTGGTCCCCCACAGGCTTCCTCTTCTTGAACACACTCTTCATCCAGCGCGGCCGGCATGAGACCACATGGGCCATCCTACGGCGCTTTGGCTACAGTGACATGTTGGAGCTGACCACGGACTACCTCTTCCCACCGTGAGTAGTGGGTGGGATGTGGCCTTCTAGGGGCAAAGTCGGAATGTGTCCTGCTACACTGGCTTCCTGGCCCAAGTCTCCCTCAAACCCCTTGGTGTCTACAGAGTACCAATTGATGGTCCCTGTGACCTAGGGACTCAGCCAGGCCTCTCACATGCCAGAGACCAACACTGCCCTCCTTGCTTGCTCCCAGCCGTGGGATGAGGGGCTTTGGGAGGCTGACTGCACATATCGGGTGAGCAGGGTGACAGCAGGAGGTGTGCCAGCACAAAGTACAGGGTTCCCTGGGAACCAGGTGGGTGTGGTGTCCCCCACAGGCTCTGCGTGCCCCCTGGCTGTAGCACTGAGCTTAACCACCACGGCTACCAGTTTGTGCAACAGGTGTTTGAGAAACACGACCAGGTGAGCACCACCACCCTTGCCAGCCCCTGTCAACTGCCCAGAACACGTCACCTCCACCCTCTGCTCCCAGGACTGTGATGGTGCCCTCTCGAGAGAGGAGCTGCAGAACCTCTTCAGCGTGTTCCCGATGCTCCCCTGGGGTCCTGAGCTTCCTCACACTGTTCGCACTGACATGGACAGGCTTCCCCTGCATGGGTACCTCTGCCAGTGGACGTGAGTACAGCCCTCAACACCCATCCGCACCTGCCCACCTGTGCCTTCCTCACTGTGACACGCCTCCCGCCTACCCTCAGCCTAGTGACCTACTTGGATGTCCAGCGCTCCCTTGAACACCTTGGCTACCTGGGGTACCCCACCCTGTGTGAGCAGGACTCACAAGCTCAGGCAATTACAGGTGGGCACCCACCCCCTGGGTCCTGGGCTCAGCGCTCCCTGAAGCACCCCGTCACCTGAGCTCACCCTTGCAGTCACTCGTGAGAAGAGGCTGGACCAAGAGAAGGGGCAAACACAGCGGAATGTCCTCATGTGCAAGGTGGTGGGGGCCCAAGGAGTGGGCAAGTCTTCCTTCCTGCGGGCCTTCCTTGGCCACAGCCTGGGGGTGAGTGTCCGTGGGGACCCCCCACACACACATGTGGAGGAGGACTCTAGGGCAGGAGAGTACATTTAAGGAATGTTAGGGCCACTGAGCATCGTGTTGGTCTTCCTCCTGCTTCTCAGCACCAGGACACCAGGCCGTTTCCCCAGGGGTCTTCTGTCTACGCCATTGACACAGTACAGGTCAACGGGCAAGAGAAATACCTGATCGTGAGTGCCAGCCACATACTCTGACCCTGAAGGTGGGCCGGGACACCCTCATGCTCATGCCCCCACCTTGTGGAGCTTTCCCAGGGCAGCTCTGGGAAACCCAGTCCTTGGGAACACCCTCTGAGGTCCCCATCTATCCCAGCTGTGTGAAGTAGGCACAGACAGCCTGCTGGCCACCTCGCCCGATGCTGCCTGTGACGTTGCTTGCCTGATGTTCGATGGCAGTGATCCCACGTCTTTTCTGTACTGCGCCACCGTCTACAAGGCAAGGCAGGGGCTGGGGCCTGCTGCAGAACACAGCTTGGGTGGGGTGAACAGTGAACTCAGCTTTCACACAGCCCGTCATCTCCCACAGCGCCATTACATGGATGGCCAGACTCCCTGCCTCTTCGTCTCTTCCAAGGCTGACCTGCCTGAAGGTGTTGCCCCACCAGGCCTGTCACCGGCTGAGTTTTGCCGCCGGCACCGGCTGCCCGCCCCAGCCCAGTTCTCCTGCGAAGGCTCAGCTCTGCGAAACACTGACATCTTTGCCCAGCTGGCCGCCATGGCTGCATTCCCGTGGGTTCCTGCACCACAGCTCAGGGGAGGGTGGCTTGTCCTATCCCAGAGCCATTGGTGTCTGTTACTGGGTGTGCTGAGTTCAGGCTGTAGGGTGGGGCTGTGTGGCCTGGCCTCTAAAGTGGTGGAGGGTTGCTGCAGCAAGAGTACAGGCACAAACCCTGAGTACCCCTTTCCTGCAGACATCTGGCTCACACAGAGCTACACCCCACCTCCTTCTGGCTCCGAGGGATGCTGGTAGCAGTCGGAGCCACTGTGGCAGCGGTGCTCAGCTTCTCACTCTACAGGGTCCTGGTGAAGAGCCGTTGACGGCCTGGAAACCCCAACGCAGTCTGCTGTAGGGGCCCTGTGGGGTCAGCATAGCCCATGTATTGGGCGTTTTTAGCCCCACAGCACTACAGCAGGAGCCCTGAAGCACTGGTGTGTGACCACGGGAGCGTCTGTCTTTCTAAATCTCTGCTTCTGAAGACAGGCTACCCCAGGCTGGGCTTTGTTCTGCCATGCCGTGCCCTGGTTCCTGCTTGGCCTGACGGTGGGGAGCAAGTGTACTGTCCAAGCATGGCCTCACCCTTGTGGGTACCTGTATGTGGGAGACAGGTAATGGGTGAGGAAGTGGGTGACCAGACCTGAGGTTCTCGGGTCTCCCTGCCTCGTCCGTGGCTTGGGTGATCAGAGGGTAGCAGGGGCCAGAGGTGGCCAGAACAGGAAGTGGGTAGACCTCCGCCCCATCCACTTAGGAGCCTTGCCCATGGCCACATCCACAGCAGAAGACAGATTGGGTTTCCAAATTAAACTTTTGTCTTTTCCAGTTCTTGCTTCTCCATCTCTGAAGACAGCTTTTCTTGAATCAGTTTAAGACGCATGCTTTGTTTTGGTGTGGGCTGGAAATGTCACCTGACCTGCGTATACCTCTCATTCCTGTCCCCATCCCAAGACCTCACCGAGGCCGGTGTGGCAAATGGCCTCCGGAGGGCGCAGTCATGCCCGGCTATCGTCAGGGAACATCCGAGCTCATCAGTGTTGGGATCTCGGGGTGATGGTCTCTGTGTGGAGACAGTACTGTCTCTGGGGATGTACCTTTCCCTGCCTGAGATATTTCTACCCCTCGCCAAGATTGGATGCTCTCCCTTGCTGCCCACTCCCAATGCTCCAGGCCTGGCTGGGCTGTTCTGAGACGCAGCTGTTGTCACGAAGCACCAAGAATAGGATAGCTGTGGAACCCTGGCCTAAGGGGGCGCACGGCCAAGATGACCCACAACACAGCCTTGCTTCAGTGTCTCCACGCTTCTTCCAGCTAGGTACCCTTCAGCCCACAGCTGGGACTGAATCAGGGTCTGGATTTGCGTCCGTTCACTTTGGGGCAGGGCAGGATCCTACTCGTAGTCTGCTTGATTCCCCAAAGGCCAGCGGTGATGATACCACTGCATCTCTGCGACAGCAGGTGGGGTCCAGGGAGGGATTGCTGTGGCTCTGTACAGCCGCTTGGTGTGCCAGCTCCCTGGCAGGAGAGGTCCTTCCCTTATCCCTACTGCATCCCTGCCTTTGGGGGTGTTCTGGCTCGGTCTGCAGGATTGACTCGGCTTGTAACTTGGTTTTGGCCGCCGTGTGGGGACAGTTAGGAGCAGGGCCTTCTCTGCCTTTGCCACCTGACTCACAAGTTGCACGGAGCCCCCTTGCAGCAGTGCTAGGGATAGCAGTGGGTGCCTAGAAGGCACACTGGCACTTCCGGAGAGCTCTGGGCAGAAACGACCACGGGCACCCCAGGTTTACAGTCGGGAATCGGGCACCTGGGTGGCTTGAGAAAGCTTCCCGGAGGAGGTGACGTTGGTGCTGAGCTCATACGGCGCGCTCGAAGGGTCTCGCGGCGAGAGTTTCAGGTGCAGCAACTTCGTGGGAGGAGCTTCCGCACCGCGGAGTGCAAGAGCGGTGCCCCAGCAGTGGGACAGGGAACCGAGTGGTCCTGTGTCCGCCTCGGGTGTGCGTGTGGGGCGCGTGCGTGCAGGGGCGCCGTGTGCGCGGCTCCGTGACGCGGCCCGA